TGCAAGTGCAATTGCTTTGATATTACATATATAGGTACTACATGTGGACCTCTCTCAGATTTGTTCATTTTGTAATGATATCTTTAATTCTCTAATTTTGGTGAATATTTTTGTCATTTTTGGTAAAAACTGATATTTTTGACTTCTTGTTAAAAACCGGAAGTGCAAATGCTTTGATATTACATATATACCCCCCCGGTAGGTACTACATGTGGACCTCTCTCAGATTTGTTCATTTTGTGATGATATCTTCAATTCTCTAATTTTGGTGAATATTTTTGTCATTTTTGGTAAAAAGTGATATTTTCGACTTCTTGTTGAAAACTGTAAGTCCGATTGCTTTGATATTACATATATAGGTACTACATGTGGACCTCTCTCAGATTTGTTCGTTTTGTGATGATATCTTCAATTCTCTAATTAATTTTTTTTTGGTGAATATTTTTGTAATTTTTGGTAAAAAGTGATATTTTCGACTTCTTGTTAAAAACTGTAAGTCCGATTGCTTTGATACTATTCATATTGTTCATTTTCTAATGATGTCTTCAGTTCTTTAATTGAAATGTGCATTGCTAACAGCGGAGCTATCTCAGCCGATAGACTGCTTGTTTACAGTATGTCATTTGCTGCCAGTATCACTGTATAAATAACATTTTCTGATACTGAAGTGGGTTCTAACCAACCATCTGGTTTTGTTTATTTTTTTCATATAATATTTCCTCTTGTTTGAAGAAGCTGTTATTCTGACCATTACTCTGACACGCTTCATTTCAAAAATAAACAGGTCAATAAATTGTATGATCTCAGTTGTGTTTATGCAAACCTTCATATTAGTGCTACATGTATAACTTCAGTATAGCAGGTCGGCCTTTCAACCATTTTTCACAAAATCAAACATTTATTTAATGTCTGCTGTGATAGATCTCCATCTAGTGATTTGTAGTGCCCTCCTTCCATGTGTAATGCCCTCTGGCAATTTGTACCGCCCTCTGGCAATTTGTACCGCCCTCTAGGAATTGTGTAGCACCCTCTAGCAATTTGTACCGCCCTCTAGGAATTGTGTACTGCCCTCTAGCAACTTGTATCGCCCTCTAGATATTGTGTAGTGCCCTCTAGAATCTGTGTAGCGTCCTCTAGGAATTGTGAAGCGCCCTCTGGGAATTGTGTTGCGCCCTCTGGGAATTGTGTAGCGCCCTCTTGGAATTGTGAAGCGCCCTCTAGCAATTTGTACTGCCCTCTAGGAATTGTGTACTGCCCTCTAGCAATTTGTGCCACCCTCTAGGAATTGTGTAGCACCCTCTAGCAATTTGTACCGCCCTCTAGGAATTGTGTACTGCCCTCTAGCAATTTGTACCGCCCTCTAGGAATTGTGTAGCACCCTCTAGCAATTTGTACCGCCCTCTAGGAATTGTGTACTGCCCTCTAGCAACTTGTATCGCCCTCTAGATATTGTGTAGTGCCCTCTAGAATCTGTGTAGCGTCCTCTAGGAATTGTGAAGCGCCCTCTGGGAATTGTGTAGCGCCCTCTAGGAATTGTGTAGCGCCCTCTAGCAATTGTGTAGCGCCCTCTGGGAATTGTGTAGCACCCTCTGGGAATTGTGTAGCACATCAAGAATATGCACAAATTTCTCTAGGGTTACTGTGTGGAAACATGAACATTCATTCGCATACAAAATCCAACATATGGTAATTGTAAATAACCAGAAACTGAGTTGACAAACATGCACGTATGTTCACCAAAGCAAATAGGTTTGAAGTCGTGTAGAAAACGTATTTAGATAGTAGCGCCATGTACCAGCGGCTTTCCTATCTATACAATTATTCTGTTTCACACACAATAAAGTTGACAGAGCAGAGCTTATTGATTGCCTGTCGTTGATAACATATGCCTTAGTCGTACATATGGTTGTGTTTATTTCATGTTCGTATATTTCTAATTTTGGTGAAAGTTTTCCCTAACAGGTCGTGAGCTGTTATTGTTCACGAAATTTTAACTTATAAGTCTGGTGTTTACAGCATTGTTTGACGTGGCAGTTTTATGCTAGGTTGCTCTCACATGTTTGTGTGTGTGTGTGTGTGTTTGCACATACACATGTGTTGCTACCTTCCTGGTGACAAGTTAAAAAAATAAATAAGCATGGCAGATTCATGTGTGTGGGGTTTTTTTTTGAGGATCATTTATTCTGTTGGGGTGATGACCTTTTTACTCTAGTATGTAACTGGAAATATTTTTAGATGTGCATCAATTGAAATCTGCTGAGCTTTTTTTTATTTTTTTTTATTATAAACAAAGCTTCTTAAATTTAAATGCACACGCCAAAACGTTATGGCCTTATAAATTTGGTAATGTATAATGATGTATCGGTATTGTTATTTTGAATATAAAATTACAAATTACAAAATATTCTGTGCATTTGTAATTAGTTTCTTAAATTTTTCCTTTTTCTTAGAC